GATCAGAAAAAACTGAGCAGCGGTCCTCATCTGCGAGGAGCGGGGACGAGGCCGGTCTTCAAAAATGATAAATATGCCGACAGACTTGGGGTCGGCCGCGACATGTGGGATGGCGGTCCTCATCCGAGATGGGAATGGGGAGCTCGACCATGTCTCTGGATACGATGACGCTAAACAGGTCGTTCCTGTGGCATAAAGTGGCGGTCGCCACCCCGGAAGGGAACGACAAGCCCAACCGTAATAAAAAACGTGTGAGGGCTTACAGGTGGCCTCAGCTCATAATGCTTGCTCCAGGTGTCAGAAGGCGGAGGTCAGGTTGCTCGTCATGGAGCGTGACCCGAAGGCCCGTGCGTCATACGACCCTTAGGACTTCTTTCTACGCGTCAAGACACACACATGATTGTGATCTCTTCTTTTCTTAGCCGGCCATGAACGTCTCCGCGCTTCATGCCGAACAACATTGATCTCCCTTCTCGAGCATATCGAAGGGCTTTGAATGATTGTGATTTCTTCTTTTCTTAGCCGACCATGAATGTCTCCGCGCTTCACGCTCGAACATCAAGGATGCGGGCAGCTCGCGACCGGCATGCCGGAAGGTCTTCCGTTCAGAACCGATATGAGGTATGTAGACCGCGTCTTCTCGGATCCTCCTCAGTGTATAGTATCCCGTTCTGGGCGAAGGATTATTTGGATCCCTTGACACTCTAGTGAAGCTAAACCATGCACCTAGATTTTTTTCCGCTTGGGAAAAGCAACAGTGCAGGTGGCCTGATGTAATTGTGTGTTTATCCGTAGTTACCCTGTCTGCCAGTGCTATGTTCGGGACATCCTTCTGGTTATGATGGTTATGAAGTTCTCGTTCGGGTTGGATTTTCCTTGGCGAGTCAAGGAAAATGTACTGAATGGGGGGTCGTTATAGGGTTACGGGGCTATGAATGCCATGGAAATGCAGGACGCTCGGGCAAGGGATATGGTTGTCAAGATCGTTCCCTTAACTGTTCTGAATGGCTTTTTTTATGTTGTGATATTTCGGCCGAGGCGGTGATTTAACCGTTCTGAATTTTGTCGACCCGCCGCCATCAGGGTATGACTAGCCCTCTCCCCGGGCTCGATCGTTGGTTCAAGGTACACCTGGGTTCAAGCCCTGCTATGTTGGAAAGTTTACTTTTTCCTGTTTGATGTGTGTGGTCTTTCCTGCTGGTACTACAGAGTAGTCAGGAATTCTAGAGGTCCCATTATAGATGGTGAACTGGCGGCATGGGATTCCCGTCGGGTGCAGTCATTCGCTCTGGCGTTCGGGGAGTTCCCGTTCGGGAAGGGATGCTTACTTAGCTTTGGATAATAATGAACCTGTCAAATCATCCATTGTGTTGTCAAGCTTTCCACGTGAAAGCAGAAGCTAGCCCCTTTACATTAATTAGTGAGCACACGGGCCCCACTCACCAACTTCTTCCATAACCAAGCAGTTTGGTTCACAGGCCTCTTGGGCCTTCTGCTTCGGTTTTAGCTTTTCCCTTCGGACATGGGGTTGCAAGTCTGATGGTGACAGCTGCTGGGCTCAGTGTGGAGTACATCCAGGATCGAGATCTGTCGGTTTACCTTCGCTACTCACTTTCTACGTTCTTTTTCCCTGTCTTTCTTCATGAAGCTGTTGTATGAGTCCAGATGTGAAAATTCCAGATCCATACCTTCCTAAACTCCCTTTTTCGCTGGAAATCAATTGCTTTCCGTATGAATTTTGTGTAGAACCAAGAACACGTGAAATCTTTTTGAACGGTTTCCCACAGAAGGCGCCAGTGTTGAGTTTAATTTAACACGATACAGTAAATATAGATATAAATATATATATGAATGCTCTGTTTTAATGTGGAAACCCAAAAAGGAGAAAATCACTAGACTTTTTAGGCTAATGTCCAAGTCTCTCATTCTGATTAATACTCTTCTCACCATTTACGCGTACAATTCTTGAGCTCCCGTTAATGGAGTTCTAATTCTTAGAGAGGAGGAAGCATGGAGAAAACTCAAAGATCCTCAAAATAGAAGCAAGGCTTCCTATTTATAGAAACGGGTGGGGGCATTTCTATCCTAATGGGCCGAAAAGGCCTTAATGGGCCAAAACATGCCTAAATGGGCTAAGTGGGCCAAAACAGGCCCAAATGATGCCTAATTGATCGGGCTCCGTACTGGGGTAATTCCTTGAGCTCCTAAACAGTAGTAGGCCGAAATAATATGCCTCAACAATATATATCTGTGTGTGCACACGCGCCTGTGCGTGTGTGTGTGACATGTATATCAAATCTATATATCACTTAGGGGCTGTTTACTTGCGACTTAATGGACTTAATGGAAATTATGACTTATTCGTTCAGCTATATAGACGTGTTTACTTGCGACTTAATGAAATAAATGACTTATTCGCTCAGACGTAAAACGTCTTAATGGTTCAGCTCATATTCTACTCTCCTTACCATTCAGACATATCATTTTATATGAAATGTCTATTTTACCCTCTTTTCAAGCCTTGTTACTCCTGCTCAAAAATAATGTTGGAGGTGGGATTCGAACCCAAGTGCTCATGCTAGCCGAGTGAAGGAGAAACCAAAGAGCTACTAAAGCTTGTTGATGCTTTATGACATTGCAAAAATATATAGCGTATATTTCCAGTCTAGGCTAGAGGAGACCGCCGTCTGGCCACCCCATTTGGATGGTTCCCGGTGCTATTTTATAATGAAATTTTATGAGCATGTTACTCATGAAGTTTAGATTATTTGTAAAAAATTCACTTTAAAATTCAATCATGAATGTAGTAAAATAAAATTCTAAAACATATGCGCCCATACACATATAAAAAATGCAATTTTTTTTCAAAAAAATATTTAACTAGCTTCACGATTTAATTTTAAAATAAAGTTTTGTGGAAATAATCTACACTTTATGAAAAATATGATCATTAAATTTCATTAAAATATTCCACCGGAAACCACCCCAAATGGGAGTGACCGGACAAGTCTCTTCCGTAACGGCCGGAGATGAATGACATAATTAAATGAAAATGATATAATTAAATGTACTTCATTACAAAAATGTATGATTTAAAAAATGTATATTTTACCCAATTACAGATTAATTGGGTAATTTTTTTTAGAAAAATGTAAATGACATAATTAAATATATATAATTACAAAAATGTATATTTTACTATATTTGAACACAATTATCAGGTTGCGCGAGTGAACAAATACCCAACGAGCTAATAATGCTTATTGGTATATTTGCTACATTGTAAAAATATATAGTATATTTTTGGTTTGGACGGGTTAGAAGAGACTGTCGTTTGTCCATCCCATTTAAGTAGTTCCCGGTGGAAGTTTTTAATGAAATTTTATGAACATGTTCCCCATGAAGTGTAGATTATATTAAAACAAAATTCACCTTAAAATTTGATTGTGAAAGTTGTGAAATAAAATTGTGAAACATATTGCGCCAAAATAGATATAAAAAAGCAATATTTTTCAAAAACGTATTTAAATAACTTCCCAAATGAATTTTAAAATATTTTTTGTGGAAATAATCTAAATTTCATGAGAAATATGATCATAAAATTTCATTAAAAATTCCACCGGAAACCACCCGAAATGAGGGCGACCGAATGGTCTCCTCTAGAACGGCCGAAGGTGAATAATTGTATAATATATATACTATTTTCAATTCAACATGATAAGTAAAAATTATGTATTTAATTAAAAATTAATGCATAATAAATATAATAATTGATATTGTTGCAACTACTAAAATAAAAAAATATGTATACACCATTTCAAATATAAGTTGAAAAGTTTATAACATATTTTTAATAAGTGTACTTATGTTCACTTTTATTTTTAGAAAAATGCGAATGAAATAATTAAATGTACAACATTACAAAATGTATATTTTACCCAAATACCAAGTTAAAAATATATATTTTAAATAAATTACTAATTTATATATACAACATATATTCCAAAAGTGTATATTTTAATTGTACTGTAGACACACAATATATATTCAACACTTTTTCCATATAAAAGGGTAAACTGGTCATTTGATATAATTCAGCATGTTCATTCAGCACACAAAGTAAACAGCTTGTTATATCACTGTGACTTAATCGAGACAGACGTCTTAATCCATACAGACGTCTTAATTCATACAGGACTTAATGAAAAAAAAGTAAACAGCCCCTTAGTCTCATTTAAATTATTATCTATATAAGCTACAGACGAAACATTCAATTCAAATATTGTCTAAAAATGATCTACCATTTTCATTTTGTATATAATTGAGTTTCAACGCCCTGGGTCATTTTTTGGACCGTCGCTGCATACAAATGTTATGTAATAGTGTTTATTAAGACGTGTTCGTTCACATGTTTACTATAAGCACATTTTTAGTTCATATGATTTAAATACGAGTTAACATTAAAATGTCTAAAATAATTGTATACATATATAGACACACACTGCACTTATACATATATACAAAAGTATATATGATATAATGTAAGATAATATAATATCAGATAATATTCTGCATAATATATGAAATAATATAATATTATAGTGTCAAATTTGAAAATGGGAGTATTGTATTTTAGGAAAAAACATACCCGATAGATTATTATCTTAGAGAGAAGTAGGAGCTAGAGAGATAAAGTGATATGTATAAATGAATTTACAACCCTTCACATGGCTCCCATAGGGAGTCTTTATAGGAGAAAAGTGAGTTGGGCTTCCAGGCTTGGGCATGGCACGTCCAGTTACAATAAAAGGTCAATAAATGGCTAATAATGGTATTTAATCTATTCTAATAAGTTTTTTTTTTTGACATTAAGTTTCTTTATAAAATAACCGAAATTGATTAAATTAATTCCATGAAATACAAAGCATGTAAAGTAAGCAATTATGTTTGGATGTTCAACCATTTGATTCATGGTTATCACAAGGAAGCATACTATTACTTACAATTACTTCTCAGGGCAGAAGAGTAGTAATGGGATTCAAGTTCTTTAAGGGTAGCAGCAGCCTCCTCTCCAACCCCAGCTCATACCCGGTCAGTCTTCTCGGCAAGTTGGTTGAATTATTCAGTTCTTTGCTCCACATGGTCGTTTAAGGAAGCAAATCCAGAAAAGATAGCTGTTTGTTTCAACTCCGAAACCAACTTTAGCAACGAGTCAGCTGCCTGAACCATTCTGGATGCTCGAACCTCCATCATGAAAGCTTCTTGGGAATTCCTAACTGGTGGATCATTTACCCGGGCAACGTTCACAATGAAGCTGAAATTGTCAACTATGCTTCCGATGTCGTTATCGACTCTCTGCAACAAATTCTTCTGCTTCTGAGCAGCCGCTGCAGCCGCTGCAGCAGTGGGTCCGCCGCCGCTTCTACCGCCTCTGAGTCCTCCCTTACTCATTACTCCGTATTACGGAGTTCTATTCTAATAGAAACATGAATAAATCGAGTGTACAATGATGATAATAGGTATCTCCTGAGCGCACGTGGGCCGCTGTCCGTACCCAATAATCATGAGACCGAGGTTCCGAGTCTATATACTCTATCAGGAGTCCCCCACTCCCTGAGTCGAGAGTACTCGAGGCGAAAGGGAGTATACCTATGTGCCGATCTGTCATCGTCTGGTGGAGTACGCCGCTGTCGTTGCCAAGGTGCCTCGCCCGGATTCCCAAGCCGATGATCCGATCTCACAAGCGAGCCCTGACTAAGGCAACCTTGTGGGAGAGTCCTCAGCCGAATGTCACAATGTCACAGGCCAGAGACCATCACCACCAGTCTTGGGGCTGAGGGGCTATGTGTATGTACTTGGTGTTGTGGCAACTGAATCTACATATGATGTGATGATGTCATCGGTGCATGTGGCAAATCTCGTGAAAATTTTGAATTTGTGCTTCTTCGGTGACGGAGGCGCTAAGTCCCCCGCTCTTCCGATCCCCCACTCCTTGAGGCGAGTGTAGTGAGCTTAAGAGAAATGGAGTAATACATATCTCATGATGTCTTCAATAGGGGAGATACCTATTGTACACAATGGGGAGATACCTCGTTAAAAACCTCATGAGATCGAGGTTGACGCCTTTTGTACACAATGGGGAGATACCTCGTTAAAAACCTCATTAGAAAAAACCCAGTGGCAAAAAAAAATCCTAATGAGAGAAAAAGAGTACTCCGGATGCCCCCAAAATGAAGCAAAAGTGGTGACTTCGGCCTAGGTGTGGAGCTGCAACAGTCTCCATCTGCTGAGGGGACGACAAAGACCGGTTTTCGTATGTGTGTAGCTCGGCATGATAAGTAGTCTTAGTCACCAAATAAAGATGACTAGGAGATAGGTCGAGCGACCGTCCATAATGTGATATCTAGGTCATCAAATAAAGATGACTAGCAGATATATGGCCAAGAGGCCTGTATGAGGTCCACATCATCAAATAAAGATGACGGGACAATATATGTTTGAAGGGCCTGTATGACGGCTCCACATCATCAAATAAAGATAATGGGGCGATATATGATCGATGGGCCCGCAAATGAGCCTGGCGTCATCAAATAAAGATGACGGAGCGATATGTGACCGATGGGCCTGCAAACGAAAGAGACACTCGACGCTGGGAAGCTGGTCTCGAGATAGAGAATCACACCTAGGGCGAGGAGCTGGTCGTGATACGGAGACAGCGGCGCTGAGAAGCTGATCTGATAATATGATGACGAGGCGATGATGAGTCGATCGTCATATAAAGGCGACAACCGCTATCCAGGAAGGGAATAGTGAGCCTGGTCGCTAGATCAAGACACTCGACGCTGGGAAGCTGGTGTTGAGATATAGGATCACGCCGAGGCGAGGGGCCGATAATGATATGGAGACAGATGCGCTCAGAAGCCGGTCCAATAATATGATGACGAGGCGATGATGAGCCGGTCATCATATAGAGTCGACGGTCGCCACCCAGGAAGGGAATGGCGAGCCCAGTCGCTAGCTCGAGATACTCGGCACTGGGGAGCCGATCTCGAGATAAGAATCATGTCGTGGCCGAGGGGACGGTCATGATGTGAGGATGAGGCGGTGGATGCTTGTCTGTGTATGAGGACAACGGCAATGAGTAGTCGGCCCGATATAAGATGATGAGGTGATGAGAAGTCGATCGTCATATAAAGGCGACGGTGCTTTCCAGGAAGGGAATAGCGAGCCCGATCGCTGGATCAAAACTTCCAGGTCGGGATGCGTTGTTGTTCTGCTGTCGCCTGACCGGGAGACCATGAATTGGTTGAGGGATCCACGATTTTGCGCCGATGGGAACTAGGGACGACGGTGGTCCTTCTGATTGACGAGGGTCTACCCTGGTCGAGGGGTCCGTGATTGGGCACCGATGGTGCCCAGGGACGACGGGATGGACGAGGGGCCCGCTCCAACTGAGTTGACTACCATTCTAAACCAAGAACCTGTTCGGCCAAGGAGTATATGTCAGACGAGGCGCTACACTAGCCGAGGGATTCAATGAGGTTTTCCCTTTGTCGAAGGAGTGAAAGTGTGGGCTGGCCAAGGCGTTGTGGCAGGTGTGTCGTGGCTGAGGTGAATTCATCTTCCTCAATTGTTTGACCGAGCTGCTACCCTCCTTAATTTGTTTGAGAAAGGGTGTTTGGACGTCGATGTTCCCAGGATGAATGGTGCAACATCTGCCCTACCATTTGTTCATGTTTGGTCGAGGGGCGCCGTGGGATGATAGAGCCGTTGCAGACTAGGGGTGCTAAGGAGCTCTCCTTGGCCGAAGGAATTGTCGTTCCTTTGTTTGAGACGAGTGTGGTGTTTTTTGTTCTTTGTTGTTCCACTGTTTGAGCTGTGTAGGCCGAAGAGAAACCCTCTACTGCTCTAGGATGAGGGTCCCATTTGGCCGAGGTGAAACTTAGGCCGACGTTTGGCTGAGGGAGGAACATTACGAAGGACGGCTGGACGAGGGTCCCACTATCTTTTTCCTTGGTTTCTGTTTGAGTTTGACCGAGATGGGACATGCCGACCGAGGCGGTGGTGTTAGTTGATAGGTTGTGCCTGGGAGTTAAGGGTGGCTCCAATATTTCTTGGGCGCCGGTGGCTTCCCAAATTTGGCCAAGGGGGTGCTGCAAGATGCTTGGCTGCAGATGAGACTACTACCGGGAGTGAGTGATCTAGCTTATTGGCTTGCCGAGGAGATTCTTGGCTGAGGCGTTACTTCCCTCCTCTGTTAGCATGACCGAGAGGTCAACTTGTGCAGACGAGGGCTCTCCATCATGAATATGAATGAGGGTCATGGTCGAAGATCCCACCAGCTTCTTGCCTTCATGTAGATTTCCCATTTGTTTTAGTTTTTTAGCCGAGGTGAACATTGGCCGATGGGTGGTGGGAGTTCCTCACTTTGGCCGAATAGTACATGACATACAAGGCGAGGTGGCATGTTGCCTCCACTAGGGCCGAGGTGGTACCATGTCCTCTATTTATGTGATGTGTTATTGGTTGGGAGGATCTCACTTGATGTATTGTAGCTCTCAATGAAAGCACCAAATGATAGATTATTATCTTAGAGAGAAGTGAGAGCTAAAGAGAGAAAGTGATATGTATAAATCAATTTCCAACCCTTTACATGGCTCCCATAGGGAGTATTTATAGGAGAAAAGTGGGCTGGGCTGCCAGGCTTGGACCTGGCAGGCCCAGTTACCATAAAAGGCCAGTAAATGGCCAATAAATGGTATTTAATCTATTATAATGGTATACATGAATAAATAAAGTGTACAATGATGATAATGTTATCTACTGAACGCACGTGGGCCGTTGTCTGGGCCTAATAGTCATGAGACTGGGGTCCGAGTTCATATACTCTATCAATACCTCAATAAAAAGATGGAGTGGTCCATCAACGAGTCAAGACACCTTCACATGCACCAAAAACTTCAATCTTTTTTTATTTCGAATTTTAAATCATGTGAATTAAAAATGTGCTTATAGTAAACATGTGAACTAACACATGTGTTGAGTTTAATACTTTAATCCAACACGATATATATATATAATATATATAATAAATGTATAAATTATCAAAATAAATGTATGAACAAGCTATTTTAACGTGGAAACCCGAGAGTGAGAAAACCACAGGACTTTTTGGGCTAATATCCAAGCCACTGTCTCATTAGGCTCTCCTCACCATTACAATATACAAGTATTGAGCTCCCATTAATGGACTATTAAGCTAGTTATTCTAGAGAGAAGGTGGAGAAGAAGAAGTGGAGGGGGAGAAGAGAAGGACCAACCCTTTCGTGGAGGGAAGACCTCTTATTTATAGAAAAAGGGGGAGGGGGTAAAATCTTCCCTAATGGGCCAAAACAGGTCGCAAGGACCTAAATGGGCCGTACGGGCCGAGATGGGCCTCGTGGATCGGGGCCCGTGTGGGGGTGGTGCGTTGGGCTACTGAACGGTAACGGACCGGGATAGTATACCTCAACACAAGTCGCCCAGCTTCTTGAGTAGTGAGCGTGCGAATCTGCTCGAGAAAGTATATTTTTGCTCATGATCTTCTGTTGTCTTCCTTAAATCTATTTCTTCGAGTAACCTGGTGCACTATGTACGTATAAGTGAGATGTGAGGCGCATTCCCTGTACTGGATGGGTCCTAGACACAATGCCGCTGAGGAGCCACTCGTGCTGCATAAAACGGCGGTCGCCATCCCAGAACAGGCGACCGAGAAGTAGACACGACGACGCTGAGGAGCCGCTCGTGCTGCATAAAGCGGCGGTCACTATCCCAGAATAGGGATCAATGAGCCCGACCGAGAAGTAGACACGACGACGCTGAGGAGCCGCTCGTGTTGTATAAAACTAACTGTTGTAAGAATTAAAGATAGAATAGTAATGAGAGGAATGATTTTTGTGTTTTTTTCATTGGAGGGTCAAGCCCATATATATATACATTACAAAGATAGAATATTCCTTTAAGATTCTATACAATAATAATATCCTAGAGTATATTCCTAAAATATTCTAAAGCATATTCTAAAGATAGAAGAATATTCTAAAACATATTCTAAAGAATATTCTATAATGTCTTTCACACTCCTCCTCAAGTTGGAGCATAAATATTTATCATGCCCAACTTGTTACATAAGTAACCAACACGAATTCCATTTAGTGCTTTAGTGAACAAATCTCCAAGTTGCTCTCCAGTCTTCACATGTCCTGTAGAGATCAATCCTTGTTGTATCTTTTCTCGAACAAAGTGACAATCGATCTCAATATGTTTTGTTCTCTCATGAAACACTGGATTGTTGGCAATGTGTATAGCAGCTTGGTTATCGCACCAGAGTTTAGCAGGCATTGGTGTCTTCAATCCCATTTCACTCAATAAATGGTTTATCCAGATTATCTCACATGCCGATTGTGTCATAGCCCGATATTCTGATTCAGCACTCGAACGAGAAACCACATTCTGCTTCTTACTTTTCCAAGAGACGAGATTACCACCAACAAAGACGCAATAGCCAGATGTGGATCTTCTATCATCTTTAGATCCAGCCCAATCAGCATCTGCAAAGCATTCTATTCTCATGTGATTATGATTCTGATAAACAATACCTCGTCCCGGTGTCCCCTTCAAGTAACATAATATATGCTCTACAGCATTCCAATGATCCACTGTCGGAGATGACATGTATTGACTTACTACACTCACTGAGTATGCAATATCTGGACGGGTAACTGCGAGATAATTAAGTTTTCCAACCAACCGTCTATATCTTTCCGGATCTTCGAATGGCATACCTTCATGAGTGAGTTGTACATTGGGAATTATGGGAGTACTGCTTGGTTTTGCCCCCAATTTCCCTGTTTCAGTTAGTAAGTCAAGCACATATTTACGTTGAGATAGAAATATGTCTTTCTTACTCCGTGTAACCTCAATTCCCAAGAAGTATTTCAATGAGCCCAAATCTTTCGTAATGAATTGACTATGAAGAAAATTCTTTAGGGCCAAAATACCTGTATTATCACTCCCTGTAATCACAATGTCATCGACATACACCACAAGCAATGTAATACCTGTTTTCGTTTGTCTGTAAAATACAGAGTGATCTGATTTGCCTTTTATCATCCCAAATCGTTCAATTGATTGGCTGAATTTCCCGAACCATGCACGGGGACTCTGTTTCAAACCATAAAGAGACTTGTGAAGTCGACAAACTTTCCCATACTCCCCCTGAGCAACAAACCCCGGAGGTTGCTCAATATAAACTTCCTCCTGAAGATCACCATGCAAGAATGCATTCTTAATGTCCAATTGATGTAAGTGTCAACCATGAGTTGCTACGAGAGAAATAAGTAATCTGACAGATGTTAATTTAGCAACAGGAGAAAATGTGTCAGAATAATCAACGCCATAGGTTTGAGCATAACCCTTCGCAACTAATCGGGCTTTCAATCGAGCAACGGATCCGTCAGGGTTAACCTTTACAGCAAAGACCCACTTACATCCTATAGACTTCTTCCCTGTAGGCAAGTCTACCAAATCCCAGGTACCATTAAGATCCAAAGCATTCATTTCCTCTACCATGGCATGACGCCAATCAGGATGAGACAAAGCATCTTTAACAGATTTGGGAACAGAAATAGAATCAATGGAAGCAATAAAAGAACATGAGGCAGATGATAACTGATTATACGACACACATGAAGAAATAGGATGAGTACAAGACCGTGTACCTTTACGTAGTGCGATGGGGAGATCAAGATCTGATGTAGAGACAGGATCTGAAGATGCAGGTGTCAGTTCAGGATATGAGATCGGATCAGTATCAGGAGAAGTAACCACAGGTGGAGGGTGATCTTGCACTTTGTGTCGACGGGTGTATACCAAGTGTATCGGAGGCCTAGGCTCAGGAAAAGTAACATGGGGAAGAACTGCTGAAGTATTGAACTCTCCCCTTAAAATACGAACATGTACATTAAATTGAGTTTTGATTTCAGCACAAAAGGCACAAAAATGAGAAAATAACTCGGAACGACGTTTCATGAAATAAATCCAAGTCATACGAGAATAATCATCAACAAAGGTAACAAAATATTTAAAACCAGATTTGGACACAACAGGGCAAGCACCCCAAACATCAGAATGAACCAGTTCAAAAGGAGCATGTGCTCGTTTATTGACTCGAGGACTTAGACTACTTCGATGATGTTTTGCAAATTGACACGAATCACACTGTAAAGATGACACCTTATTGAATTGAGGATAAAGCTTCTTTAACAACGGAAGAGAAGGGTGACCTAGTCGATAGTGAGCCTCTAACACAGTTCCAATGCCAAGACAAGAGATTGATTTGGGTAAGGATGTATCCAAGAGATAGAGACCGGCCGACTCATATCCTTTACCAATAACCTGATTCGTCAACAGATCCTGAAATACACAATATCCAGGAAAAAAGGTTACGGAACAATTAAGTTTACGTGTGATTTTGCTGATCGAAATCAAATTGAAAGCAAAATTTGGAAGACTTAGGACGGGTGACAAAGGTAAGGTAGATGTTGGGACAATTGTACCCGTACCAAGAACGGGTGACGTAGATCCGTCAGCCAAAGTCACACTAGAAGTATGAAGTGGTGTGTGGAATGAGGAAAAAAGACTAGGATTACCTGTCATATGATCTGTTGCTCCTGAATCGATAACCCATTTTGAGGATGAAGATACAAGACATGTGTTTGGATTACCTGAATTAGCTACAGCTGAGATAGGAGTAGATGAATGCTTTAGAGCCTCCTGGTAACCTAGGAATTTGGCATATTCCTCCGAAGACATAATGATGGATCCATTAGATGGCTGTGTAGCGGAAGCAATGTGAGCGACTTGATTTCCTTGATTTTTGAACTTTAGCTTTCGACAATCTTTGATCAAGTGTCCGGGTTTCTTACAGTAGTTGCATACTACTCCTTTGCCAATCGGTCCTGTGCGTGGCCACTTCTCACCTCCATTGGGGAATGTTGGGACTTGCCCTACAAAAGCATTGCTTGGCTGAGGTGCCGATGATGTGGATGAAGTGTCAGTGCGAAGCACTCTACTGAAAGCATCTTGAAGAGAAGAGACCACATCACTAGATAGGATATGTGATTTGGCTGTTTCAAAATCAGACGTAAGACCGGTCAAAAAGCTCATGATTGCCATTTGTTCGCGTTGTTTCTGCTGCACTTTGATATCAGGACTAAAGGGCATTAAGGTATTAAGTTCTTCATACGTTTTCTTGAAATCCATAAAATAAGCTGTGAGAGGCTTATCTTTCATTTCTGCCCTGTAAAAGGCTTTGCACACCTCATAGATGTGGTTAAGATTACCTTTGCCAGAATACATAAATTCCAAATAATCAAAGAGTTCTTTCACAGTATCACAATGACTAACATACCCCATGACGTCATTCTCCATGGAGTTCTGAATCTGGATAAATAATCTAGAATCATCACGAAGCCAGACGGCATTAGCAGCTCTATCAATCTCCTCCTTTGGCGGGTCATCAACTAAGTGGGTGTATTTATCAATGCTTCGTAAATAACGTTTGATAGTTTTACTCCATTCAAGATAGTTAGAGCCACAAAGTTTATTCTCAGTAATTTTAAAATTAATGGGAATAACTTCGGAAACTACCAAAGGCTGAGCATGTTGTACGGTGGAAGTGTCTGTATCAGAACCAGGCATTTTTTTTTTGACTTTTTTTTTGACTTTTTTTTTTGACTTTTTTTTTAATTGCAGAAATAAGATGCTATGTATTAAGTAAACTTACAGCGACCAAAATACTATCCTTGAATGTCGTTACTTAATAAGCAAAGTCACAGAAAGATAATACCGTTCAAGACACCGGAAAATAGTTCCGATGGATTCTCCGGCGATTGGGTCTGCGATTAGGTCTGCGAGGTCCTCTGACAGCGCGTGTGGCCTGCGGATTTCGAGTGTAAGGTCGGCGGCGGAAGGCGTGACTGCTTAGGGTGGAGGTGATGCTCTGTGAAACTGTGGATTTTGGACTGAGGTTCTGAATTTTGGGCTAAGGTTCTGGCTGAGGCATGAACTGAGATTCTGAAAAATACTGCTAAGCTAAACTGGAACAGATTGCTCTGATACCATGTTGTAAGAATTAAAGATAGAATAGTAATGAGAGGAATGATTTTTGTGTTTTTTTCATTGGAGGGTCAAGCCCATATATATATACATTACAGAATATTCCTTTAAGATTCTATACAATAATAATATCCTAGAGTATATTCCTACAATATTCTAAAGCATATTCTAAAGATAGAAGAATATTCTAAAACATATTCTAAAGAATATTCTATAATGTCTTTCACACTAACCAAGGAAAGAGGAACTCCATTTCCCAAACAAGCTACTAGCAAGCAGACCATTTCACAGCTACAGTTGCAATTTTCTGCAAATTTAGGAATATTGCCATGATTTTTTCCCGGTCTTCTTCAAATCCCCACCAGTCCCTAATATGTATTATTGCTAACAACAAGAAGGTCAATTTCAATATTACTTCTACACCCACTGATGAAAATATGGTGTTGCGCGAAGAAGTGTAATATTCAGAGTAGAAAGAGAACATAAGGGCCATCAGAAAGCTGGGGGCTGACTTGTTCTCGTCTTTTAGATTTAAAAACAAGAATAGAATATAGAAGAGTGCATACACACAGAATAAACTGCTTCTAGAAGAAGTTTTGGGTGCAAATGCAGCTACCTCGGGCCTCACTTCTATAAAACGGTCATGTGGAAAATTCAGCATTTGTACTCTTTCTGCCACCAACAACACCATTTCATTAGCATTCAGATCTGCATTTCATTAATTCTTTCTTTATTGGAAAAATTAACAAGAATAATCCCACCTTTCACCGGTCTTGTTATAATAATCCCACCTTTACGTAATCCCAAAATAATCTCACCTTTGCACCTCATCTTATTTCATTGGACCTTAACCGGTTGATGACCTGCTATACCAGGTTTTTACCCTTTCTTTGAAAACCTTATATAATTAATCCCACCTTTCACAAATCTGCTCAAAACGGTCCCATGTTTCATTTTCACTTTTTTCCCCTAAAATTTTTCTCTTTATTTTCATCCCTAGACACTTTTTTATTCATTTTTCTATCCTTTTGCTCTTATTATATTTCCATTTTTATTATTCTATTTCTTACTCTATTAGGAGAGTTTTTTTGTTGTAAAATTTCCGTCCAAAATAGCTCTTTTGTCGTTTTCTTTTTCTTCTCGTATTTTTATTTCATTTCCCATTTTATGTTTTTCTTCTTAAACATATTTTTCTTATTAAAGATCTTTTTTCCCTCTACTTTTTTTTATATTTTCTTTTTATTTCCACTTTCCCACTTTTTTATGTTTTTTCTTCTTTCTTCTTGTTATCTTAATTCCACCATCAATATATGTTCTCCTTTCTGCATTATCCTATTTTTCTAAGTAAGTCGACCCATTAATTACATCAATTATGTGAAAAAATCCATTTGACAAAAAGATTAGGGAAAAATTAAATTAAAATAAAAATAAAATATTAGCGAAAATGAAAGAAAAAACCGTAATATTTATTTTTCTTTACATTTCCCAAATGTTTTATTTTTCCATAATCTTTTCCCTAATTTTTTCATATAAAGAAAAAAGGGAAAAGGTGAAAATAAAAAGAAAAAATAACAAAAAGTAGAGTGGGAAAAAAGATCTTTAATAAGAAAAAAATGATTAAGGAGAAAAACATAAAAAAGGAAATGAAATAAAAATATGTGAAGAAAAAGAAAATGACAAAAAGAACTATTTTGGACGGAAATTTTACAACAAAAAACTCTCATAAAAGCGATGGGAGAAGGATTGAACAATAACTTAAGAACACTCGGGTAGTCATGTTAGCGGGAGATTATTAGTGCGCTAGTGTGACGTGAATAGGAGTTTACCAGGTTTTGGAATCACGAGGGTAACCACAAGAACATGAATTGTTTTAGTAGTTTAGCGATTCTTATGATTATGCATTTCTATTATTCCAAATAAAATAATAAAAATGGAAAAAAAATAAGAACAAGAGGATAGAAAAAGGAATAAAAGAATGTCTAGGAATGGAAATAAAGAAAGAAAAATTTTAGGGAAAAAAAATGAAACATGGGACTGTTTTGAGCAGATTTGTGAAAGGTGGGATTATTTACGTAAGGTTTTCAACGAAAGGGTAAAAAACCCGGTATAACAGGTCATTAATCGGTCAGGGTCCAACGAAAGAAGATGGGGTGCAAAGGTGAGATTATTCTGGGATTACGTAAAGGTGGGATTATTATGAGCAGACCAGTAAAAGGTGGGATTATTCTTGTCAATTTTTCCTTCTTTATTTCATAAGGGGAAAAATTGTCAATTTTTCCCTACTGAAAGTCAGGACATATAATAATTTAAATATCACGAAAAATTTATCATATTAATACACCTAGTGACATTATTTCCTTGGAGTATGACTGTATGAGGAATGCCTCAATTTCACTAATGAACTTAGCTAGATAGAGATATAGAGGATTACCAGTTTGTTCTTTATATCCATGATAGTCTCCTCTTTTTGTTTAGCATAAAGCTTCATCGACTGAAATTGAAAAGGATCAAACAGTCTTAGTCCAGTACTCGCATAAACAATTAAATATGGATCAGTTTTTGGGAAAATCCAACAAATTGAATTAAAGCGTAACACATTTCTTCTAGGACTATCACGGTCACTGTTATTTCCTAAAAACAAGATTCATTCACTCCTAAGGTTCAGGGTTTGGAACTCAGAATAGGTTCTATTTGTGAACATGGCCCACATTTTACTCCTATTTGCAGTAATTTATTTTTAAATAGAGAACCTCTAATTTATAATACAAAATAAAGCAATTGTAATAGGTCTACTTACTCCAAGTCTTTGCATTTCAAGTGACTTGCGCAATGCATCTCCTTTATTAAGAAGATTTTGAGGCACTGACTTTGGGCGATTATAGTTCTTTCCACGATATAACAGTATAGCATGGCCTTCTTTAAGTTTATCAACAGAAACCAGAACCCCACCACTTTCAGCCTCAAGAAGTTCTGCAGTGTGAAGAACCTGGGAAAACGTTCTCTGCATGGTGATAACTTTTACTACTTCCCTGTGTTTCCAGTGTTGATGCAAGCCTTCCACCACACCATCAAAAACACCACGCCTTCCTGAAGGAAAGATTGAACAGAAGTAATAAATGATAAATGCTCAATTGTGAATAACAGGAACTATAATTGTATGCTTCCTGAGAGTATTATAGAACTAGAAAAGTTGCAATTTTTAAAAAAATTCCCTTTTAAGGATAGGCAATAACTTTGCAGTGGAAGTATCGATGATCCAAATAAGTGTTTCGGTCACCATTTGTCCTCTAAATAGTGTCAATGATGTTTTTGGCATCCGCCTTTGTTTTTATCTACTTTCCTTTCTCAGACTATACTTGACACGCAAACGTTCGGTACCCGTAGTTGAATCTTCTACTTTTCATCCTCAAACCATTGCGACGGTAAGGTTTTTGGTACACCTCTTTGAGTTTTGCCACAACAATTAAAGGACCAGTAGTGTGATTGGCACACTAGTCAGAGTACTAAAGTGAAAAAAAAATGTACTAAAAATGTTTCTGGTGCAACACTTAGAGGACTATAACATCGGGAAAAATGAAATGCATGTACCGAAAGTGTCATTGTAAGAATGGCACGGTGACTAAAAGCGAAAAAAACATCCAATCGATAATACATGTGAAAATAGTATAAGGATCTAGGTTATATTTACCAAGGACCAAACTTTTGTCCATAGTTAATCCTATGCTGCGCAGGCATTCCCTCTCTTCTTCTGTTATTATTTCCTTGTCTTCATCTAGCATTGAAGGTTTCCATGCAGAATCCAATTTCTCTAACACTTTTATTGATTTTTCTATCTTCTGTTTGAGCTGTGAAACCAATAAGAGAAAAACATTTCAATATTTACTCTTTAGTGGCCATAATAAAGGAAGCGCTGGAGAGAAAATATCTTACAATAAAGCGCTTCTGCTCTTGACTTCTCAGTTCTTTTTCCAATTTTGCCTTTTCAGACTCTACCTGAATTTTCATAACCTCATCAACTCTGCTTTCATCTTTTGCATAATCTGTGATATTCCGAAATTCAGATAATGTTCCAACTGTCTCGGAGTCAACTGCATCTTCATATGTTGCAGAAAAGAGCTCAGTTGTTCCTAGCCGAGCAAATTCTTCATGAAGTTGACATCTCATAAGCAATGCTTCTCTTTCAGCTACTAGTGTTGCTACTTGAGAAGGAAGAAAGTCCTTCCCCCGATATAGGATTATAATGAATTTATTGCGTAATAAAAGAACTCCTCCAGTTAGTCTCTGTAACAAATAGGATGATTTTCATTCAGCATCAGTAATATTAAAAAAATTGAAGCCAGGGAAAAAAGCGTTATTGCAACTCAGGTAGCGTGTTTTAATCAATTCAAAAACCATAAAAGTCCTTGATAGGAACCTATTAGTATAATAATAATAATAAAATAATGTTACATAGTTTCTATTATGTTAAAGGGGGTCTAGGCCTGGTATTAATTTTGTTATGGGCCGGACCGGGGCCGTAAACAAAGTATTATAAATAGTAGCTGGGAATAGAATAAAGGTAGGCAGATTTTAGAATTGGAAAATTGGGATCTGGGAGAGTTGAGGCCTCTCGAAGCGCCTCACCTGTATCATCTTCTTCCTTTAACCCTTTTGGGCTTTAAAGATAAATTCATGAGTTGTTCCCTCTTGGAGATATCAATTCCAGCAATCTGAATAGTAGGGTCCAGATCCACACTGATTCTACTCAACCGGTAATCTGAAATAGGGCCAAAAACATTGTCAAGATTCTTAAATTTGGTAACAACACTGAACTTCTTTATTGCATGAATTTTTCTTTCATGACTGCTATTAAGAAGGAATTCATCATCCCGATTGAAAACTGATTCTTCAAATGAAATTATCTGTGGATCATCCTGCACCCATGATTTTGCCAAGGCATCCGGGAGTATTATAACACAGTCACCCACCTGAGCTTGATCCTGACTTTCAGCATAAGCAACACTCTTCTCCCTCCAAGGAAAAGATAAGTAGTCTGTTTCAGCACACACAAACACTCCTACAAATAACCTTCCAATTGTTTCATGCTCTCCCCTACAAAAATAAAGTGTATGTGCCATGCCTTCACCCAATAAAGCAAGTCCAGGAAGTTTGATACTATAAATGATCTGATCTAGTTTTTGATCTGGTTCAGAAGAATCAACAGATTTTGGCACGGCTTTCACTAGAGTCGAATAATAAATCTTATCACCTGTCCTTTTCGACTTATCTGCGCTTGTGACCTCCTGCTCTTTCGGTTCTGACAATCTCAACTTAATGTCCATTGTCGGCGATGAAGTTCTTGGTGATCCATTTTCGGATTCAGCTTGGTCTAGGGTTCTGAAAACTGATGAAGCTTGCACATGGTGAGGAGCGACTAGCGTCGACGAACTGTGACATGCGGCCAGAGACGACAATTTCGAACTGGTCGTTGATGATAGGTGAGGAGCGGCTACTGACGGCGAAGAGTCTGGCGAACAGGAAGAAGATGCTGGAAAACCTGGAGAATGGCTTGAACAGTGAGAAGCGGGCGAAGAGCAAGGAAAAGAGCACGCCGTTTCCTGGAGGCAGAGAATCGGTGATCGCCTCTGGTTTGCCAGCGAACACTGAGGAGCTTGTGTCTACTCATGGCGGAAAGGAACTGCGCAGGGAGCATGGAAGATCCGATCAGGATGCTTCGCGCGAAAAAGGAGAGAAGCTGGCGGAAAAGGTTGAAAGTGATTGGGCTAAGAAGATGCGCCATAAGTTGGGCAAAATTCGTCACAGACTTAAGCGACATAGAGACAGAGCTAGGAGCCCTCCTAGACACCGTCGGCTGATTGAAAATAATCCTGTGTCTTCGTCCGTTACTATTCCTAGTTCGCAATCGCGAACTGCATCAGGTAGTTCGCGGACATCTTCGCAATCGCAAGTCTCTTCTCCGTCGCCAGCATTTCCGTCCAGTTGTCTGGCTTCTTCTCGATTTTCATCTCAAAGCTCGAAATCGCGAACTTCTTCGCAATCGCAGTCTACCAGTTTGCAGGTCTCAGTTCGCAGGGCTCAAGTCCCGCAGGAGTTTGTTAGTGCGCGGAAACCTTCCTCTACAGATAGGTGTGCGTCCAGATCCAGAGAAAATGGAGAGAAATTCACCAAGGGCAACGATGAAAGGCAGAAGAAATGGCCAGCAGAGTCTCTCACTTCACAAGCTTCACAGCTCGGTTTGAAAGTCATTAATCTGCGGCAACCTTCCTCCGACGCTAAGAGTGCTTCGCAATTTGGAGAAAATGCAATGAGTGCTTCGCAATTTGGAGAAAATGCAAAGAAGTTCACTGAAGGCGACAATGAAAACGAGGAGAAATTGTCGGTGGTCGCTGGACCTGAAATTGGCCCAACTGCAGTTCCTGTTTCTCTTGGATGCCGAGCTTCTGATGCTTCTAAAGGTTCTATGGAATTCTCCAACAAGGTTTTTGGTAGAGTTCTCCCTGTCACTTCTCAAAATGTTAATAATTCTAATGCTTCACAAGGACCTGGTCAAAATCTTCACCACATTATTGAGAATAGGCTACAGCCAAACACAGAGGGTGCAGGAGTGCAAAATATGAGGCTGTTTGGAGGTATTATTACAGTACCAATTGTTTGTGATATGAAAAGCAATGAACTTTGTTCCTTTTTCATACTGACAAACCCCAGAGAGTTGCAATTTTATGAGAACATTTGCTGCTCTACCAAGAAACCTGAGCAAGAGAACAATCATTATGTTCTCCAGAGTTACAGCATACCTCTTTCTGAAGAGAATCTGGTGAAACCGGGCAGTGGACAGCTTTGTTCAAAAGGGGTGATGAAGGGTCAAGTAATGAAGATCATGGTCCAGAAATTCGAGATGTATTGGGAAGGAAGAGGTGCCAGGATGAAGATGAAGTCGGAAGTTAAGGCTGTTTCCTATCACCCACCTTGAGGACAAGGTGGTTGTCTAAGGGGGGAGATATGATAGGAACCTATTAGTATAATAATAATAATAAAATAATGTGACATAGTTTCTATTATGTTAAAGGGGGTCTAGGCCTGGTATTAATTTTGTTATGGGCCGGCCCGTAAACAAAGTATTATAAATAGTAGCTGGGAATAGAATAAAGGTAGGCAGATTTTAGAATTGGGAAATTGGGATCTGGGAGAGTTGAGGCCTCTCGAAGCGCCTCACCTGTATCATCTTCTTCCTTTCTACTATTTTACAATCAGTTTATTGTTACAAAATTATTCAAATTCTCCTTAACATTTTAGCATTAGGAGTATTCAAATTCTCCTTAACATTTCTCATCTTGATTTTATCCCTTATCCGACGGCAGATGATAACTGGGTCTAAGACTCACCTTTTAAGGATGTTTTGTGGTGAGTTACACCCAAATTTATAAATAGAAAAACTGCTTTTTTTGCTTTGAGGAGAGAACTTGCCTTGAGCTCCTCTGCCATCTGCCCATTGTCTGTGTTTGGGACTCCCCATTTCAAAGAAATTTTTGCTATATGACATTTCTCCCATAATTTAAGTACTGCATTAGCTAAACCTTGGAGTTTCCTGTTTCTCCCTGAGGTTACATGTCACAGAAATAGTTAGACTCGAATGATAGGGAACCGAACAATTTTTTGTATATTACATCTTGAAATAGGAGTCCTAAAGCTATTACAATGGCAGACGAACGTAAATGATGTACAAAGCAGGAAGAACGGAAAGAAGGAAAAGAACAGTTGAGACACTTCGAGTAGTCTCACATTCCCGGTTCCCAGCCCAATCCCAATCCCAATTTCTGCCTACCCCCTTCCCCCTTACTTGCGCTTATTATAATACTCTCATAACGGGCAGGCCCTGAACCACTAAATTACTGGGCCTAAAACCCTCTTATTGTACAATATTAAGCTACATAATAAGAGAAGTGCCGGGTTCTATCATCACTCCCCCATTTAACTACACCTTGTCCTCAAGGTGGGTAGTAAGAAACTGATCTGGCCTTTGGTTTCTGCTACATCCAGTTCAGACTGCTGATCACTTGTTCCCTTTTCTTCTTCTGGATCTTCCATCAAGACAAATTGATAATGTTTTATTACACAAACATGCTCTTTGCTCCATTTGTTTCCATATTTGAAGCATAGGCCCTTTTTACTTCTTTCTTCTAACTCTGCTTGTGTCAACCTTTGGCCTCCCTCCCGTGTCTTACTCGGTTTTGGTAATTCCTCCAGCTTGTTCTCTCAATGTGTTCTCTCAGGAGTCCGTGACTGAATAGGAGGTGTTCTTCCATTCGCTGCTTCCACCCAGTTCAAATGCCTGACCATAGTCCCCCCTGTTCTTTCCATCACTTTTTGTCTTCTTCCTTATGTATCCCTGATCTCAAAGCAGTGTTTTTCTCTTCTAACAGCAGAGCTCGATGCATTAACTCAGATAGAGAAGCGGATGGATAAAGTTTCAGTTCAGCTCTCACCTCATCCTTCAAGCCGTTCAAAAAAATTCCCCGCAGCATCAGTGTGCCTCAGCAGTGTGACTACCAGTTTAAATCTATCCCTATAATCCATTACGCTTCCAGTTTGCTTGACGTTAAGTCCAAACGGATTTTGAACTAATTCCAGTTGGAACCTTCTGATTAAGGCTGTTTTGAACTGTTCCCAGGATCCATTCATCATTTTGTCCCTCCCACCATTGGTACCAGTTTAATGCTTTGTCCTCCATGGCAATGGTTACCAACTCCACCTTATCTTCTTCTGGTATGTTATTCAACTTGAAAAACCTTTCTACCCTAATGGTCCACCCATAAGCATCCTCGCCATTAAATAACGGAAGATCAATCTTCCTTCGGGTGCGAACATTCTGTTCGCACTGGTTTCACGCCGAAAAGAGATGGATCACGAGGTATCAGATTACCTCCAGAGTTCGACGAAGCTACAGAGCTATGAGACATACCACTGGAGCGCGACCAACTCCTGTTATTCGACGGCGACTGCTTCTGCGAGTGTCAGGATCGCCCCCAGATAACATGTGATCGAGATTGAGTAAGAGTTGATGCATATCCATACTTGTCACGGCGGTAAGTCGAGTCACGGTGCCAGCCGACCGCCATATCGCCTAGGCGAGAAGGCGCCCGCCTAGGCGACTAGTTACCAATATATGTATAATATACTATATTATAAAAATATATAATTATATATTATGTATAATATATAATAAATGGTTTAATAGTTTACTATAAAACTAATACGAGCATATCAGTATATCACCATTCACCAGTTCAGCACTTTATTATGTAGCATACAATAAATAATAAATTAATGGTTTTATAGTTTATTATTTAACTAATAGTCTAATATGAGCATATCAGCATATCACCAGTATAATAAATTGATGGTTTAATAGTCTATATCACCATGTTCACCGTTTTTATATAATACGCAGTATAGAAGTATTATAGTATATATATACGCATATATTGATATACACACATATATATATAATTATATATACCACTTAATTAATTAAAATATTAAAAAACTAAATCCACTACACTACACGAGAAGAGAATAAGAGATCGGTGGACCTATTTCTGGTCGTCTGCTTCAAGCCTTCAATGAAGGACTGGGGGATGGCGACTGGATAGACCGGCGACTTCTTCTGCTTCCTGAAGTTCTACGGTTTGTCGCTGTGTCTGGTCCTATGAGTTGTTTTTACTTAAAAGCCTAAATCCTTAATTAAATGAGTTTCCTAAAAAATTAAACCCTAATTTACTCATTTTTGGGCTTGCGGAACGCGGACGGCTTTTTGACTGGGCAAAAGTAGGCGGCAACTTGTCGCCAACTTTACTCCTGGACGACACTAACCTCGACTATTCTTCTTCTGGCGAGGCGAGCTTACCGAGCGAGCACTCTCCAGCGCTTGGACGCCTAGTCGGCGCCTAGGCGACGCCGTGATAAGCATGTGCATATCCTCCATCTTTGATCGTATTCCATCCATATCCGATTGTATTTCATCCATATCCGCTCGCATCTCTTCCAGTTTTCGTTCCAGGCATCCACCGTACCCCAAGAAATGGTGCTCTGATACCAATGATAGGGAACAGAACAATTTTCTGTATAGGAGTCCTGCAGCTATTACAATGGCAAACGAACATAAATGACGTACAAAGCAGGAAGAACGGAAAGAAGGAGAAGAACAATTGAGACACTTCGAGTAGTCTCGCATTCCCAGTTCTCAGCCCAATCCCAATTTCTGCATACCCCTTTTTCCCCTTACTTAATAAAATCTCTTATTGTATAATATTAAGTTACTTAATAAGAGAACTGTCAGGTCCCTATCATTGAACAAGAGGTGCATGGTAACATGATTGTATAAGAGTACGATGCCACAATGTAGCCCACAAGTGTATCCAAGCAAGATTGAAATAAATATCAAATTTGACCGAATTTACCCCAAAATGATACTACCTCCTCCCCACTTTACATGTCTTACTTTCCTTTTTGGGTTGTCCCAAAATAAGTATTCCCTCCCTCCCACTAAGATTGTCTCATTTTACCTTTTCGGTCTGTCCCACTAAAATTGTATCATACCAAATTTGGTAAAGTTTGTGTGGCTCTAAATCATTCTTACTTTATTCTTACTTTATTAATTCAATATCAACCACATAAACCACTTTTTATTGGTTTGTGTGTCACTCCCTCTTGTCACATTGTTAGTGGGACGGAGGGAGTATCACATTTCTTTTTTTGTAAATAAATATGTGCTCTATAGCATTTCACTTTATTATGTCAAATCTCAATCACAAGTTTTACTTTTTCAACCACGTTATTAATAATTGTGTCAAATCAAAGTAGGAGACATAAAATGGGACAAAGGTAGTACTAAAGAGGTGAAGTCTAATGGGCACTTATATATAATATCATAAACATCTTATTTGGGACACTGAACAGTCCCCTTCAGCCCAATACGGGTTGGACAACTTCAGGAGTGCATAATTGGGCTAAACCGGCTCCATACAAGCTACCCCAAACTATGGGGGCAAACAAACAACTAAAAATAATAATAGGAGCATACTCTAATAACAATATTATATGTGAATCTAGTAAAAATATGTAGACACTCAACAATTACTTTTTTTCTATCAAGTGCATGTTGGGTAGGAATAAGTCTCTACCTTCTAACTTTTGTATCATTTAAAAAGTCTCTAAAAGTTTCTAGTTGAATGTTTGGCACGCCAATTATTAAGAGTTTTTTTAAAATAAAAGATCTTTTCTTAGATGTTATAGTGAGCAAATCTAAATAAAAGTTTGTAGCTTTTAGCATTAATTAGTCTCAACAGCTTGTATGTCAAACAAAGCTAAATCAAACAATTAACTTTTTATCAAACAGTTAGCTTAAGATCTTTTCGGTTACTAAAAACTCATAAAAGTATCTTTTCAGCTAGTTGTGTCAAGCATACCCTAATTTCATATTAAGTGATATTTGTATATGAGGTTGTTTATTTTGGGTGTTGAATAAACCGTTTGAATTGAGTAAAATAATTAATTTAGTACTCCCTTCGTCCCTCTATAATTGTCCCATTTTTTCATTTTTGGATGTCCCTTTATTATTGTCCCATACCATATTTGGTAACATTTGTGTGACTCTAATTCATTCTTACTTTATTTCCACTTTATCAACTCATTACCAACCACATAATTCTACTTTTCTTAAAAACCACATCACTCCCTTCCGTACCAATATTAGGGGGACGGAGGGAGTATTATTCTTAGATTATAATGTCGATGAGAAATTTCATTTATTAACATAAATCTATTCAACAATCGATTTACAAAAATTGACAGAAAAGACGTCTTAATAGACGTCTTAATGGCAAGGATTATTATTTTCCAGCTTCATGATTAAGTCGGATTTTTTACTAAATGATTAAGTCATGCTTTCAATTAAGTTGTAAGTAAACACGACTTAATGGATGAATGATTAAGTTGTCTTTCTCATTAAGTCCATTAAGTCAAAAGTAAACAGCCACAAAGGTTGACATGCCACATACTACCTCCGTCCCTTAAAACTTTGCCGAAGTTGACCGGCACGGAGAATAATAAAGTAAAACTGTGTGGTTGAGGTTTGTGCAGAGGAGAGAGAAATAACAGAAACCACAAAATAATTGATTAAAAGGGAAAGTGCCAAAGTTTTTTGGGACGTCCCAAAAAGGAAAGATGTCAAAGTTTTAAGGGACGGAGGGAGTATTACATAAGAAGATGAAATACCAAGAACAAAATGAGTGGGCAAAGGACGAGCAAGCTTCCTCAAGTATGTAAGCTCATAATTCATCAGCTTTGGTCTAAGAAATGGAGGGCAACGCCTGAATGGGGTCTTGAATCCAGGAACCACTTCAGGAAGCAAGTCAGCATCGACTGGTAAAGGCTTTGGGTACCACCAGTCAACAAACCGAGGTCCTAAACTATCCAACAATCTATCAGCTTCTCGTTGATAGAGTGATCCATCTATAGATAGACGCCCCTCTTCATCAGATTCAACTCTCCATATTTGATCAATGCCACTTTGTTCTGAGTTTTCTTGAGATACAGACTTTATGCAATGGAAACTGGTACTTAATGTAGAATTGCGCCCATGATCAACAAGTTTGGGATGCATTTGTGAAGAACTGGTCAACCCTAGTGGATAGTTATGCCCTCTATAAACAACAAGGGCATCTTTCTTACTCATGACAACACATCCTCCAGTTTTAATCTGTTCATGTTTTTTAAGAAATAACAAACAAAGATCAGCAGAAGAAAAATAAAGGATCTTGTTAGATAGATATTGTGCTACATTGTATGAAAAAGAGCTGCAAACGGTGGAGTTTATCATTTCATACAGAAAAATAGAATCCGCTTTGTTCGTAGCTAGTTCGAACTACATTTTTTCAACAAAAGAATAAAAAACAAGCAGAATAATTAGCTTGTGACTGGTTTGGCATAATCAGTTCTGGTGATTCACGAGAGTTAGCTCAAAGGTGCTCATATACCTGCTTTTGTAATTTGAATAACATGCACAAAAAGCTATGCACATATAAATTATCATCAAATCTTAATATGATATCAGAATCCATTAAATAAATAGAACAACCAATCTAATCTAACTAAGACACAAAACGAACATGTGTATGTCAAGATTGGCTTGCTCCAAAGAAAAAAACCATGTGTGTCATCCTCTTGCGTGTCATATTAAGTTATCTTAATATATCGAAGAGAATGAATGCAAGTGAAATAGATTGCTAATGAAGAAGTACAACCTCAACAATTTCTTTAGCCCGGACCATATTTTGACATAAAGGCACATCGAACTTGAGCATGGCAAGTTCATCTGCCCGCCAAATACAGTGAACTCTATCAACAACGGCTTGAGTCACCCCAGCCTTCTTAACCTTCACCCATTGCCTCATCCTTGCAGCCATATCCGTCAGCCTCTCAAGCAATTCTGTACCAAGGCCCGTCTCATCTGCCATCATTACCTTTTCCTTCTTCGTTCTCTTAATAATCCCAATTGCCTGCTCTCTCTTCCAGGGCATTCTGCTACTCCCTTTCCCATCTCCACTCTTCCCAAATGAAAATCCCAAGCGAGTCTTCTCCAATGCTTCAGGAATGACATGCACGTTCTCATCTACTCCCGCCCTAAAGGGAGAATCTTTGTTACCATTATTATCTCCCAGCAAAACTCCGGGTGAAAAATTGAACGTTCCATTCTCTCCCGTTCTCGCATTCTCTGCTTCCAAATGAAGAGTTTCTTTAAGCTTATTAATACCTAGAAAGATTTTCTTCATCGCTTTCTTGGACCTTCCTCCACCCTCCTTCCTTGTCAATTCACTGTCAGAAGTTTCATTTTCAGTCAAGGAAGCGGGGCCTTTCTTTCTTCTTCTTCTTTTGGAGAAATGCAAGACATGTTTGGGTTCAACAAGAAGAGGGCCATTCATCCAGGGAGCCGTAGGGGCTTTGAAAGTGGAACTTGAACGCTCAATTTCTTGCTGTTTATTATCTTCGATGACACCCTTGCAAATGATTTTAGCCCTTTGATGGTTGGAGTGGATAATTGGTTGACGGTTCAAAACAACATGACTATTATAACACAGAGAATTGAGAAGAGTGCTTGGAAAAGCGTGTAGAACAAAAATATTTGCAGACATGGAATACTCAAGGGAGGATATGTTCAAGAATAGACAGGTTTTACATTTAGATACACAGCCTTTCCAGAATTGCAACTCTCACAATCGAAATGATGCAGAACAAGAGTTGGAGGCCTCAGTCGCAGCGAGATCGCCGGGCGGTGGACGCTGAAACGAATGTTATTCATTATTTGGCTTGTTCATCCTCTCAGGCTACTCCCACAGAAAAAAATTGTTAGTGTTCACGCGCGTGAACAGTAACTATATTTTTGTTTATTCATTGTTTTAGTAGCGGAATAGGTGTAACTTGCGTGTAACGAAATGTAACTCACGCTAATAAGAAATGCAACAACAAGCAAGTTGAAATGTAACTTGTCTAATACGAATTATAAGAAATAAAACATTGATTTTAATAAAAACAAGGAGTCTAATTGCTCAATTACTTTATTTAAATAGTTTATATGTTTTGTTTTAATATCCAAAAACTGATTTTGAATTTGTAAAAAACAAGTGTTTTTTTTTATTTAATAGCAAGGGGTAACATAAATGGTGAATATATATTTTTTTAATATTAAGTCCATAAAATTATTTTTACAAAATTTTTTTTGCCAAAACACATATTTTTTGGAAACATTTATTTTTTTGCATAACAATGATTCTTTTGTTTCAATAGTAGGTTTTATGTTGTGATGTAATTCGTATTACAGAAAATGTAACTCGCGTTGATTGAAAATCTAACTTTAGTGTATGTAAAATGTATCTTGTTAAGGAAAAACTAAAATGTAACTCGCGTATAAAAAGATGTAACTCACGCACAAGAAGATGTAAATCGTGCATAAGAAGATGTAACTCCATATAATATCAAATTTAATTATAGAAATGTCTATAAATATAACTCACACATACGAAAAATGTATTATTCTCATGTTTTTTCAAATTTAAATCGAAATAAACAGCCTTAATGTCTATAAAACACAAAAAACATATAAAAGAGATGAGAAATATATTATAGAAAAAAGTACATGAATATAAAAAATATTTTACAAAAAAAATGTATAATAAATATTAAAAAAGTATACAAAGTAAGAAATAGTGTATGAATATGACATACAATATACTTATTTTATGTGAATAAATAAAATTTTGTATTAAATCGGTAAAGAAAAAAATTAATTCAAGATAAAGATAAGTAAAATATCACAAATAATTAGATGTAACTCACACATAATTAGATGTAACTCGCGCATAAAAGTATGTAACTCGCGCATAAGAAGATGTAACACACGCATAACAAGATGCAACTCACGCATAATAACATGTAACTCGAGTATAAGATGATGTAAATTCGTATATTATCAAATGTAACCCAAACTAGAATCAAAATAAACAAACTCAATAAAAAATATTGAGTGTATGCATATAAAAATATATTACAAAAAATATATGAATATAAAAAGATATTACAAAAAATAGTGTATGAATATGAAATGCAATGTACTTATCTTATTTAGATTATTAAACTTTTTGTTATGTATTGATAAAGAATAAAAAAATAGATTCAATTATAATTTAAATTGAAGATAAGAAAAATTAAAACTGCAATTAAATTTTTAACATTTTAATTTGATGGAAATGAAGAAGAATTGAAGAAAAGAAAAATAAAAAAAGAATAACAAAAAAGGAAAGGAAGAAGCTCCAGGGAAAAAAGAAAGCAACGTAACTTGGCAAAAGTGGGATCGGCACACCATGCGGAAGGTGGGCCGATCCCACGGTATAATTTGCCATCCTTTCATGTTATTTTATTTTATTGTTCAAACTGAATCCCTGTTTAAAATTTTTTGTATTTTTATTCCAATCATATACTCCCTTCGTCCCATTTTACTTAGCAAATCTTGACTTATAAAGTTAATGAAGTCTAACTTTGACCGATTATATATTTATATAGAGAAAATATTAATAATATGAAAATGATATGAAAAAGTTCTTTGTTAAAAATACTATCATAAAAGTAAAAAAACTATTAAATTTTGTATAAATATATTAGTTTAAAGAGTTTTTTGCCCTAAATAGGATTAAAATGTTGCTTAAATTCCCAAATGGAAGTAAGTATATTTCTATTCCCTAAATAGGACTATTGTACCAATTTACCCCTCAATTCAGTTTTATCGTGCAGCACCCTTGCTTTCTACTCACACCTGCGCACCTCTTCGTTTTCAACCGTACCTGCGCAACTCTGCTTCTTCAATGTGACGAACAGAGGCAAAACGGACAGCAACGGCGAACAACAGTGAGCGACGGAGATCGGCGAAGGTGTGGTGACGAGTGGCAGTGAGTGGCGAGTGGTGAAGGAGCGACGGCGAGTGGCGGCGAGCAATGAGCAACGACCGGTGATGAGCTTAAGTTCAGATCTGTTGTGGAATTAAGGCACATGGTTCTCCTTGTCTCTTGCTTCTTCTTCGTCTTCCTCAATACCTCCTCTCTATTCCGTTTCTCTTTTCCCCCTCTTCGTAAGTTCAGATACTCATCTTCTTCATTTGGAATTGACGATGACAAACACTTAATGTTCATCTTCTTCATTTGGTTTGATTTTTATAGAAATGCCAAATTTTATTTTAAAATGCCATTAAAATGGCATTTTAACTCTTCAAAAATGCCATTAAATTGGCATTTTAACTCTTCAAAAATGCCATTTTTTCTTTTGAAAATGCCATTAACATGGCAGTTTTTATTCATGTTGGCATTCGTATAATATTGTTGTCATCAGTGACGTAGACCGTGAGCTCTGCACCGGCGGAGGCCGGATCCGCATAGGCGGCGGCCGGATCTGCGACAGCGGTCAGATTTACGGCGGAGGCAGCTAGATCTATGGCGGTGGTGGCCAGATCTACGGCGGCGATGACCAGATCTGAATCGGCGGCAACCAGATGTGTAGCGGTGGTCAATTCTCCGGCGTCCGGCGACCGGCGACATAATGATTGATGAACAAGAGGGGTTTTTGATTGATTGATTGATGAACTTAAAATGTATTTAAACACTAAGATGAATGACTTATGTGTTTTAATTGATAGAGATGAGGACTTGGTTTTGCTTTTATCCACTTAATGAAATGTTCGTCGATCCTGGTTATATTTTTAACTATCTTCCTCTCGAATACTCAATCGAGGAGTATCTCCATTTCATCGAGGGTAGTTATTAATAACGAGACGCGTTCATTAATAAAACTTACTACCGAGTCAATATAGAACACGCGCCGTATATTAACCCGATAGTAGCAATAAACTTAAAATGAAAACGATTGAGATTGATAACTTCAACACAAGCGGTTTATTGGTCTGATCAATATAATTAATTCCCCTTAGATTATTAACCATGAGACGCATGCATTAATAATCCAAGTTTACTACCGTTGAAAGAACTGACTTAACAACAAGCGTATTAACCGATTGATTCTAGTAATAATTAATATATGAAACAAAACTAGTTGATCCTTTAAGTAATGTTCAAAATATTAATATGAAATATGAATATTATTTAATTAATATTCAAGGAAGAATATTACTAAAGAAGATGAATCCTACTATAATTAATGTCAAGATGTTAACTAATTGTCATTTTAGCAACACTCCCCAACATTAATATAGAGGAAGAAAATATTACTATGATTAATGTCAAGATGTTAACTAATTGTCATCTTAGCAACACTCCCCAACATTAACATAGAGATAGTATTACGGAAAGAGCTAATAATTAATATTCAAGGAAGAAGATTAAAGAAAATAACTCATAGCTTACAATTCATTAAGCTTCAAAGTAGCAAAACCAAGATGGAAGAGTTTAGCTCCTCATTTGGAGACTAAACATGAAAAAAATATAAAGAAAGTACTTAACTAAACTGATTTTAGAAGTGTATAGGAATTGGTGATTTTATTGTGAAGGAAATGGGGTGTATTTATAGGTGTTTGGGGCATTCAGGTGTGTGTACCCGATCGGGCTTTTAGGGCACCCGATCGGGTACCTTCAGCAGCTTCCCGGAAGCTGGAAAAGTGGGGCATACCCGATTGGGTATGTCGATTACCCGATCGGGTATGACACTCGAACGTGGTAAAAAATCTTCCTACATGATGCCCTTGTCCCCGGATTTGATCTGATTTGAAATTTCAGCGAGGTACCCGATCGGGTATAGGCCATTCCCGATCGGGTACAAGTCAAAAATCAGAATCCTTCATTTTGTCTTGTAATCTTGCATCTTCTTTTCACTTTGGGGTTTCACCAGTGGTCCCTTGAGTGATGATGGACCTGTTTGAGCTCAGAATAAACCTAATCTAAACAAATTACAAATATTTTACAAACTAAATTGTTACACCAAAAGTGTGTAATTTCCAAAGTAACAATCGATCAAAACTAATTAAAAACACAAATATAAACATGAAAATTACATGAATGTCAACATCATAACTACTAATCGCAGAAATAGTTAATTGATTGCTCTTCAAGAAGGATGAACCTTTTCAGAATGGGAAGAAACGACCTTGACGACGGATCTCATGGAAGAGGTAGCAGAGTTGACGTCGGCTTCGATATACTTCTTCACAACGACGGTCGCCGCCCTCTCCATGGTCTTCCCCACGCACCTCACCTTTTCGGTGACGGCGACCAGACGGTCGTACTGCGCCTGAGCCATCTGATCCATCTCCTCCTCGAAGCGCCAGAACTCCTCCATGGCGCTGTCCATGACAGAGTTGACATGGTCCTCCGCTTCCTACATGCGAGTCTCTGCCTCTTCGATCTGTTTCTCCTGCTCAAGCTCCATGGCTGCCCAGGCCTTGTAGGCCTCAAGATCGAAGAGGTTCATGACGTCATCAATGGCTTGGGGATCAAAGCTCTTGTCGCAAAGGGCTTGGTCCGAGAGGATCGTGAACTGAGAAATTAGAGCTTAGTTTCTGTACTCTCAATACCAATTGTTTCTCCTTCGAATAGATGAAGGAGATGAAAGGAAATCGGAGTGCAGAGAGGCGTGGGAGGAAATCAAAGCTAGAGAATGGAAAAGTAGATGAAATTAGGATGGTGCGAATTGAAGCTTTAGATGATATGAAGAGATGCGAAGTCGGATTTGGATTTTTTACCATTGATTGGGTTTAGGTTTAGACTCTTTTTGAAATAAAAAACAAAAGTGAAAAGTTAAACGTTTAAATATGAAAAAGATTTTGTACGGAGACATTAATGATATAAAGTAGAAAAGTGGTCTTCAGGG